GGGTCTATGTACAGGTACAGGGTAGGTCTAGGGATCGAATCTCACTCAGCACACAGGGTCAATGTACAGGGTTAGGGCACAGGTCTAGGGATCGAATCTCTGTGACTGCAGTACCAGGTCAACTGGGTGAAACCGTTTCACTCCCGCCGTTCTAAATTCGAGGTCCTCCGAGAACCCTCTAACTCAAGGCAGGACCTTTACCTTTTCTTTCCCTCTCGTAGGCGTGTACTATGTCGGGAGCGGTTTCTAAAAGCTCTGTTCTTGTAAACCACCGGTCGTCCTCGGGTTCCTGGTATGCGAACCTAAATTTGTACTGTTTCTGGGGACGACCTCGTCCTCCTGTCCTAAACACGTCCTCTTCCACAATGCCCTCTAACCTGACAGACGTGGTGCAAGGTAACAACTTAGAGGAGTGGAAGACTGGGTACGTGTGGAGGTGGGCTGGGATCTCTATCGTATACGACGGGCCGTCCTCTCCTCCTTTGACTTCTAGGACAGGCCACAGTCCTCTATATGCAGGTGAGAGCTTCTGCGAGATGTTTTCCTCCGGTGCGAACTCCTTCGACTTGACCCAGACTAGGTCACCTACCTGAAACTGTGAAGGTCGGCGGTGCTTGTTAGCCTGCTCTATCATGCGGTGTTGGGCCTTCCTCAGGTTGTCTGTGACCTTAGCAACCTCTTGCTCATGATGGAGCGCGAACTCTCGAGAACCGGGTGGAAGTCTCTGGATCTGATCCCGGTTTAGTCCTTCTAGTAGTCGCCTAGGTTTAAAAGACTTATGTAGCTCATTAGGAGTCCGACAAGTAGCTAAGTGAACGCTGTTGTTGTAGGCGCTTGCTACTTTGGGAAGCAACTCGTCCCAGTCTAGCTGATCTGGTCTAATGTACATTCTGAGTAGCTGTTGCATAATCTTATTCATCTGTTCTGTCTGACCGTTAGTCTCGGGGTGTCGTCCTGACGACATCAACAACTTAGACCCGTATACTTTCATAAGATCTTGTCAGTTCTGGCTGGTAAACCGGGTGTCCATATCACTTACTATGGACAATGGCATACCATGCTCGCTTACCCAGAAATCAAAGAACTTCCTTATAACTAACTCTGTACGGGCCTCTAAAGGCAAGGGAACAAATACTGCATACTTACTAAATCTGTCTACTATGACCATGACTTGAGTTTTTCCATGGCTGCTTCTGACCCCAGTATCCATGAAGTCAATGGACATTGAATCTCTGGGTCCGGAGGGAATACGCAAGGGTCTAAGAAGACCCAGAGGGGCTCTAGTCGTAGCTTTATTACGCTGACACACTTTGCAACTGCGCACATATTTTATGCAGTTTGCTTTCATGCCTGGCCACGTATAGGACATCATCAGGTTAGCTAAAGTCTTCTGCCATCCAAAGTGCCCTTCTGTATCGTGGCATTCCCCTAAGATCAGACTACGGATCTCTTCACTATTGGGGACGCATAGCCTGTCAACGACATTAGTCTTTTCAAACAGTAGCCCATTCGTGGTCCGGTAGTGTGGCTCACTATCTAGGGCTTCCCTTACTCTTTTGAGCAGGTCACTGTAGATTGGGTCCTGTGCATAGGCATCTCTTACTTTCTGCTGCAGATTGGCCCCTATGTCTAGATAGTGTACTATCGCGCCGAAATAATCAGATCTCCTGCTTAGAGCATCAGCTACCACGTTGTACTTGCCTTTAACGGGGTTTAACTCAAAGTCATATTGGTCTATCTCAGCAGCCCATCTGGTCAACTTGGGCGTCATCTTGGCCTGTGTCTTTAGCCATCTAAGAGTCTCGTGGTCTGAATAAACCTTGAAGTGCCTCCCAAGCAGGTAGTGTTTCCAGTGCTCTAGAGCCTGCCTGAGAGCGTAGAGTTCCCTCTCGTATGTCGATGCTGCGACTTTCTCTGAAGACAGCCTGGCTGACATGCGTTGCCGTCATCTTGCTGTAGAACGACACCTATGCCATACTGACTCGCGTCTGTAGTAACAACAAATGGCAATGATGGATCAGCAACTTTGAGGACAGGGTACTCTATCAAAGCCTTCTTCAATTTCTTGAAGGTTGACGTACAATCCTGATCCCACTTCCAAATAGCTTCTTTCTTCAATAGTCTACGAAGGGAAGCAGTGATCGTAGAGAAGTTCCTCACAAACTTCCTGTAGTAGTTAGCCAGTCCTACTCTGTTAGTGTCTTACGAGTTGGCCAATCTTTGATGGATGCTATCTTGCTGTCCTCAGGCCGAATGCCATCGCCGTCTAGTACATGGCCTAGGTAAAGGACCTGTGTCTTGGCCCATTCGCACTTCTTCGGGTTAATCTTGAAGTTAGACTCTCTGACCTTACTTAGAATCTGTTGTAGATGGCCCTCATGTTCCTCGAGGGTCTTGTTGAACACTAGGACATCGTCTAGGTAAACTACGACGAACCTATCTAGCCAAGGTCTAAACAAGTCGTTCATACAACGCTGAAATGTTGCGGGTGCATTAGTAAGTCCAAATGGCATCACTATGAACTCGTAATGCCCATACCTTGTCCTGAACGCCGTCTTATACTGATCGTCAGGGTGGACTTCTATCTGATGGTACCCAAATTTTAAATCTATCTTCGAGAAATATCTGCACCCCTGAACTCGATCTAGCAATTCATCTATACGCCGTAATGGCTCTGCATTCTTAATCGTGATGGCGTTCAGTCCCCTGTAGTCAATACACATGCGCAACTCTCCCTCCTTCTTTGGGACAAACAGAACAGGTGCGCCGAACGGCGATGAACTAGGCCGGATCCATCCTTTTTCTAGGAGCTAATCTAACTGTCTGTGTAGCTCCTCTAACTCTTTGGGAGACATCCTGTAGACTGCCCCCTTTGGCGTTCTACTGCCAGGTTCTATTTCTATTCGGTGCTGGATCGTTCTGGGCACTACCCCTGAAGGTGGTTTAGATAGATCCTTATATTCTTCCAGCAGACTTGCAATAGCAGGATGGATCTTTTCTTCCTCCTTAGGCTGATCGGGCACTTGCCTAACATAGGCCACAAACACCTGCTCTTCAAACTGCTCCTTTCGCACAAGCCTGGCGAATGCAGGAGCGCTGAGGCAGCAATGGGTAAGGGGATTATCTACCCCGGACTCATGGAACAGGCGGACTTTCTTGACTTCGCCTGACGCACTAGGGAGCCTACACTCATGCTCTCTGAGGTGAAGTGTGGCTCGTGGTGCCTCTCCCCAATCTGTGCCTAAAACTATGTCAAACGGGAGACTCTCTTCTACAAGGAGGGTCAGGGAGTGCAGTACCTTCTCTACCTTGCCATCTTTCTCCAGGCGAAAGTAGGCATGGACCCCCTCAACATACTCTTCGACGCGCATCCTGCTATTGTCTGCGAGGATGCTGACCACAGGCTCTTCTAGTCGTTGGACCTTCCTCAGCGCTTTACGACTAATATAGCTCCTAGTCGCCCGCTGTCTATGAGGGCTCCTACTCTAGCTCTAAATATCTCTACATCTGCGAGGATTAGCTGTCCTTTACTATCCTTCTTCATCTTGGCCCAGGCTTGCCTCCTCTCTCTTAACTCCTCGGCTAAGCCTGTGAGGGAAGCGTCTAGAGAGACCCTAACACAAGCAGTCTCTGGACAACTTACAAAACGCTGGCCTGCAACCTTTGCCATGGAGATATGTGGAGTGGGAGACTCTACTTCGCGCGCACGCTCAGATCCACATACTCCTGGGGTAGGGGCAGTTGCGACCCCTACCGGCGGCTSTCTTTTGCTGCCCCARACGCAGCACGGTCCCTATRCTTGGGACAAAATTTGATAATGTGGYCTGGGTYCCCRCARAATACGCATTGAGAACTRTTAATGCGTGCTTGYCATACTCCCTGATCTATACCCAGATCTAGCCAGGGTCGGCCCTCGGGCCGGCCTGGGTGCCACCTTCCCTGTCTGGGGGGTGACCGACTAAAACGCGGACGGTTAGGCGGGGGACCTCCCCTTCCTCCCTCTTGGCGGTTGCCATTGCCGCCAAGCCCCTGGTCGCCCTGTCCTCGGCCACCTGGGGCCCGACCATTCTGGCCGAACCGTTGTCCTCCTCCTTGCAGCCTCCCTCCGACCGCAACAACAGCGTAGGTTCTCCCCTGGCCTGCGCCGCTGTTCTCCTCCTCCAGTCCCCACTCAATGTCAGAGTAGGGAACCTCGTCTACACCACCTTCCTCCATTGTTAGAATTAAACTATCTTTGGCCTTGATCTGGTCCGAGATGATGCGTCCCTTCCACATTTTCCCCCTCGACAGATCTTTGTGCCAGAACGTGGTAACTGGTGACACTTGGGCGGCAAATGCAACTGCCTCCCGACTAAGTGTATCATAATTCATGCCCTGCTGATTCTTCTTTTCGAAGAAGTATCCCTGAATATTTTCAGGCAGGGCACGGTAGAAGAGGTTAAGGAGCTGGGCATCGGTTACTCCATGCCCAGGGACCGCAATCAGTTCGTCCATGGCGGACTTGAGGGCGTGCACACTCTTCCACTGGCGAGAGTGTATCATTTGGAGTTTGTCGGAGGCTTTGAGCCCCCGCGTCACATCTGAGAATCGCTCCCTGAGTGATTTCAGGAACTCCGAGAGAGGTGTAAGTCTCGAATACGTCTCGTTATCACAGCTCGCAGCGCGGTCTAGCGACCTAGCAAAGCTAGTCACCTCATCTCGAACGGCTTGGAAGGCAACCAAAACATGGTCCTCAGGCGTGACTCCCTGTAAATACAAGTAGGAGTGCACGTTGGCCTCCCAGTTATCGAAATCCTCACCCTTCTTTCCACTGAAGGGTTCGGGAAAACGGACCTTGACTTTCTCATGGCGTGGTGGGGCTGGCTCCTCTTCCTTAGGAGTCGCTAACTTGGCGCCTTCAATGGCGCCGGTACATAACTCTCGGGTCTTACTAATTGCATTGTGGACTTCGGCCAATAAGTATTTCATCATGTCACTCGCAAAATCTTTGAACCCAGCGGGCATTGCATCTACCTTTACTTCTAAACTTCGAATAGACTGCGCCTATTCGTGGTGTGCAATTAGTAAAGATTGTACGCTCTCAGTCAGGGTGTTGAGCTTAGTAGCTATCTCCGTCTCTTCCCTAATTTTTCCCATCCTAGTCTCCACCGCTTTCAGATCCTTCTCCGCCTTTTCCGCCGCTTCCAATCGTCTTACCCTCTCTTGGGACAGCCTGTATCTCCATGCCATTTGCTGTTCTTCCTCCTTCGCCTTTCTCCTCACCGGGTCCCTTTCCGTCTCAATCTGCCTCCTTGCTGCTTCTCTCTCTTCCTGGGGAATGGCCATCTCGGCCTCCCTATCTTCCCCCAACTCCAAATGTGCGGCCCACTCTTATGCAATCCTTGCAATCTCAATTTCTTTGCTTGTGCTCGCTTCCCCTCTCCTTCTCGCCAATGGCTCTTCTTCCTCTACTTCTTCCTCTTCTTCTTCTTTCTCCACCTCCTCTTGTATAGCCGCCATCTTCTCCTCCTGCTCCTTCAGCTCCTCCTTCATTTGCCTCTTCTTTGCCTCTTGTTCCTCCCTTAGGGCCAGCATCTTGGCCTGCTTGATTAATTCCCTTTTCTCCATCTTTTCCTTCCTTTCACGCAAAAGGCCGGCAGCTCTCTCTTCTTGCTCCTCGCTGTAGGGCGTGGTACTAAACCCCGTCCTAGTGGTCACCATGGTGAAAGTGCACAATCAACAACGATTCCGCGCCTCAACACGTAGACCGCACAGGTTAACTTCTATCGAAGGGTTTTGACTCACTACCCGGGCTAGACTTACGGTTTTATGACCACATACACTGAATCCTACCGACTTGGACAGAAGTGACAGGGAGATAGGACTGACTGACTTTGACAGACTTAACGTCAGCAGGTACCAAGGTGAAGGTGCACATCCACGGGGTAAGGGGTAGGCCAGGGCATGGAGAGATGGTACCGGTAATCTTCTCGCTCCAACTGGGTCGACGCTCCGGTCAACGGTCTTGGTCAACTCGTCGGTCAACGCTCCTGGTCAACTTCGGTCAACGCCCGGTCAACACCCTTGGTCAACTCTTGGTCAACACCCGATCAACGTTGGTCAACTTCTGGTCAATGTTGGTCAACTCCTGGTCAACCTTCCAACCTTCCAGCTATGGTGGACCTTCTTCTTCTTCGTCAAAACCTTCGTCTTTTCCACCTTGGCTATGGCTGACTTCGTCTCCCTCTTCGTCACCTTCTTCTTCCTTCTCTCTGCATCTCTCTCTTTCTTCTTACTGATCGTCTACTTTCCCGAGCTTGGCAGCTATGGCTGCCGTCCCCCCTTCTATCTCTTTCTCTCTCTTTCTCTCTCTCTCTCCCTCTCTCTCTCTCTCTCTCTCTCTCTCTCTCTCTCTCTCTCTCTCTCTCTCTCTCTCCCCCTTTATTTCTCTCTCTGCCGATCTCTGGCTATGGCAGCTCCTTCCTTCTTCCAACTCGCTGCTGCAGCTCCGTCGGCATGGACAACGGGTACCAGCTCCGATACCAATGCAATCAGACTCAACTCTGGACTTGCTCACAACATGCACACTTGAGAACCGATGGCAAACCAAGCTCTTCCAACTCAGAAACAACAATGAACTTGCTTTTAAACTCTGTTCAGAACAACTGTACAAGTTGCGGCTATGGCCGCCGAACACTCTCTCTACCACCAGCCTCACTCTCCCTCACTCTCACATGTATGCACGTACGAGGATCACCCTGAATGTCCCCACTCAGCACAGCGTCACACACTCTGTACACTCATCTACACCAACAGCTGGGCGGCTATGGCCGCTGTCGTCTTCCTCCTCCTAGCTATGGCCGCCGGTGTCTCCCTCGCTATGGCTGCTGTCTTCTTCACAGCCCACTTCTTCTCCGGGCACCTGCAAACCTCCTGGCACAAGATACCAAGGCAGCTCTTCCGCATGGCTCCCAGGCGAATGAATGAATGGCTGGACGCTGCCTGTTTATTTATACTTCTTCGGAGGTACCCGGACCCTGCCTCCAGACCTGTGGGCCTGGGCCAAAACGTGTGGCCCAGGGAAGCTTCCAGACGTTTGGCCTTCTGGGCCAAAACGTGTGGAACTCTCTGCATGCTCCAGAACCTTCCCCACGTGCAGCCCTTACCCAGGTACATGCTGGCTGGRCCYCCCTACAGAACCCTACGGACTTCTAGAACCTACAGACTCTACAGACTTTCGACAGACTCAGTAGAGAMTTCTAGAACAGACTCTCTAGGCCTATTGGTAACAGACCTAGCTGCTAATCTACAGACCTAGGGATCAAGTCCTACTGACCAAACTACAGACTAACCTAAGCCGTAGGACAGGTTTGGGGATCGAATCCTACTCCGGTCAAGGGGTCTATGTACAGGTACAGGGTAGGTCTAGGGATCGAATCTCACTCAGCACACAGGGTCAATGTACAGGGTTAGGGCACAGGTCTAGGGATCGAATCTCTGTGACTGCAGTACCAGGTCAACTGGGTGAAACCGTTTCAAATCATTTCGCTCGCATCATCTTCTCCTCCACTTATAAACATCAAATTACAATCTACAAACGAATGAACTTACAAGAATCAATGTCCAAAGAATCCCCCTTACTGCCAGGACTCAAACGGCTGTCCGTTCAGCCTCTCTCTCATGCCTCTCCTCTAGGTTGCATATCTTGTTATGGTGGCTCATCCCTGTCCAACACGTGTAATAACCCGCACAGTTTTCGGGCTAAGAAAGAAATCTGCTTTTCCTCTGAGAAAGTTTCTCCTTTTGATCTGATTGCCGAGAATTCTGAGCGCCCGAGTCTGTTTGATGTGTATTCTAAGTATGCATGTATGGCCGCGTGCTTGCCTGAGGAGTTCTGGGTCCCGCTACAAAGCCTTCCACAAACTATGCTGACTGAGACGTGTGTCTGTGCCTCAGACTGTAACGAGGTAGGGACAGGGGTAGGAACAGAAACAAGACGGAGAGGTAGCAGCGGGGATATATTGGGAGTGCGGAAGTGGTCAGAGATATAAGAAGCAATTGTTAGACGCCCGGTTGAGACTTTCCAGAAAGTCGGTTGGGCCTGGAAGGGTCCGGTAGATGTGCAGTAGGTAATGATGGTTCAGGGTCTGAATTAGTCTTAGGTTCAGGGTCTGTAGGTAAATGTCAGCTACAATGATGTTCCCACCAAAAAAGAGGGAACACAAAGGCCTACTGCACTCAGGGAGGCCAAGTAGAGGCAGGTAGCGCCCGGTTAAGAGGTACTGGAGGCCAGGCAGCCGAATAATATCATCCATTGCAACGAGTCACACTGGTGCTTCGCCGAAAGGGAGAGGTGGCCGAAGCTCCTGGTGTGGGTGGAGCTTGAAGGTGAAGGAGAAAGACCTCCACAGCTATGGAGTAGCAGGGAGAGGTAAGAGAAGCCCTAGGCTATGGAGCTAGAGGGAGAAGACCTTCCATGGGCTATGTTGATGGAGAGAGGTTGGAGGAGGGGGAAGGAGGTGGGAACCAGCAAGGAAACTTATTTTTGTCTATGGTGGACTTACATCCTCGTCTTTGTGGTTGGTGCTGCGTCTAAGAAGGCCCCTGCTGCAGTACCAGTTGCACATGGTCCTCATCTGGACAACAAGCATCTCAGTAGTGGACAGCAGAGGACAGGAGATTAATTGTGTTGCCCTTTGAACATCAGAGGTTTCTTTGGATGAAGCGCTATAGCTAGTAGCCATACCAAGTAGGGGAGAGGGATGAAGTGGAGCTAAGAGAGGCAGTAAGGGTGATCATTCGGACATTGACTCTTTTTTATTCATTCATTACAATTGTCATTTATTATTAATAAAGAGTTGGAGGTGATGATGGAAGGAAAGGCGATGGTGGCAACACATGGAGAGAGTTCACATTGCTTCCACCTTGTCTTCTTCTTTCACCCATCCATCTTCTCTCCTTGACTCGTTCTTTTTCTATTTGAGTTGCAATCAATGGCATTGTCTCACTTGAGTTTTGCATCATGAAATGAGCAGAAGAATAGCATACGGATGTTCAAAGGACAACACAACTACCAATGTGTCTGTCCAATCTCATCCCACCATAGCCATGCTCTCAGATGAAGTCTCAAGTCCAACCTGTACGCCGACAGGGCCTTTGGGATCCAGCGCCAACCACGAAGATGGACACGAAGGTCAATCACAGCCAAAGGTAAGTCTCTCTTGTCGGTTCCCTCCTTCCTCTCCCTCATCCTCTTCTCTCTTCCTCCTCCTACCTTCATAGCCTGGCTTGTAGTTCTTCTTCCTCTACCTCCATAGCCTAGAACTACTCCCTTCTACTACTACTCTCAAAGCCATGGAGGTATTCTTCCTCCCCCTCAGCTCCTCCCCTTCCCCGTACCTTCATCGCCTGGCTTGAGCTTCTTCTGCCTCTACCTCCATAACCTTGACCTACGCCCTTCTACTACTACTACTACTACTACTACTACAAAGCCCCGGAGGTCTTCTTCTCACCCTTGGCTCCCCACTTCAACTCAGAGATCTGCGTAGCTCTCCCTCAGAGAGGGAGTAGCAGTATTGCAATAAATCGCAGTATGCCAGTGGGACTGTACACTAACTGTGTTTGGTGTTTCCTTGGTTTGGGCCTTGCGGGACGTGATCCCGTGACCTGTAATTTGTACGTTTGGTTTGTTAGCTTCGAGCCCTACTGGGCTTGATCCTTAGACCTGTAGCTAGTAGTCTGTACTTGGCAGTCTTATTCCCTTAGGCTTTACTGTTTTGTCGTTTTCTGCTGTTGCTGAAGACAACCCGGGACTTGATCCCATGACCTGTAGTGTGTTTGTGGTGTCTGACTGTTTTTTAGCCTTATTGGGCCTTGAACCTTGAAGCTGTCACTAGTAGTCTCTACTTCATAGTCTTAGGCCTTTCAGCCTTGTTGTTTTGTCCTTTTCTGCCCTTCTGGAAACTGGTAGGCCCGTAGGTCTTTCTTTTGTGTGTCCTAGCCTTGGGTCCCCTTAGTCTAGGTTTCCATCTAGATGCATGTAGGTAGATCTTTACTGTTTGGCAGTAGATGTTTGGTATTTGGACGGTCCGATAGGTATGTAGAAGGCTGCTGTGTTGTAGGTCTAGGGAAGTCGGGTAGAAGTAGGAAGAGTCCAACAAGTTTGGGGTTCTTTTCGTTGCTTTTCTTCTCACGGTCTTGGTGGAGGTCGCGTTGCTTCCCTGCTGCGCTCATCTTCTCCACATGCTGCTGGCGGCCATAGCTGGGGCCGGCCAGCTCCATTCGTGACAGCTCTGGGCTCAGCGCCCAACTGCCGATGAGCGCCTCCTCATATTTGTGTGCTTGTTGGGGTTTAGTCAGCTGCCACCGAAGCTGCACTTTCAGTGGTATTTCTTCCAGGTGGTAGATCTTCATCTTCATCCAGTTGTTGTTCTTCTTCATCATCCCGGGAGCTGCGCTCCCCTGCTGAGTGAACACTTCATCCGCAGTGGGCTTCTTGGGTGGTGCAGAGACAGGTGTTGGATTTAGGAAGGTGTGTGGCGATTGGCAGGCTTGATAGGCTGGGTGCTTGCAAGCACCATAGCTAGAGCTTGGGGAAGAGTGAAGCGGTACCCCTACGGCCCAACAGTGAGGCCGGACCAGTTTCAGGCTGTCGGCCTGACCCTGGTCCGGCACCAGGTTGTTCCCGTACCTGAACCTAGGCCGGTTTTCACTTCGGCCTAGGCCCAGGTCGGGAGGTTGATTCA